ATAAATGGGAAATAGAAGGGACACCAGTTTTGTATCCCAAAGGTATGAGTTTGAGCCCTGATCTCACTCTTTTTCTACCTGTACAAATTTGGACAAATTATCCAATTTCTCTGAGCAACAGTTTCCTTATTTGTAAAAAAGAAATAACAATGCCACCTTGTTGGAAGGATTTGGAAGATTGTAGACAATAGAACACTCTACTGATGTTAGAGAAGATAATGATAGCCTGGCTCCAGGTTGCATCTGGTGGATGGTTTCTAGGGCACTGGCCCCAGAAGACTCTACATTTCCGAGTGGAAGAAAGAAGACTTGGAATCAAGGCTGGCCAGAGCACCTTCTATGTCTGCTCTTGCTTTCTATAGCAAATAATACCACTATTATATTTTCAGTTTTACATTGCACACGGGGAATTTACTTGTGGTGGTGGCTTGGGCGCCCTCACTCTTCCTTCCATGGAAAGGCCACATTTGGTCTTTTCAGAAAGCTGATGCTGTCCAACGATGATGACAGTGGAGAGCAACTGGACACTGGGCTAGGGTCTCAGGAGCCTGTTCCAGGAGGCTCCTGAAGGAAATGGCAGGTTCTTGTCTGGATCTGTGAATGACAGCTTTTGCAGTATGTGTAGGGAGCTCTCAGGCATTCTGGGACAGCACAGGGCCTTGGAGAGGGTTTAGGGAGGTGGGCTTCTATGGGAAGCAAGAAGGTTCTGTGCTCCCTCAGGCAATCTCATTTTTTAAAAATTGATTTTTAAGGAGAGGAAGAGAAAGAAAGAGAAGAGAAAGCTAAACATCAATCAGTTGCCTCGCTTACATGCCCTGACCTGGGATCAAACCCCCAACTTTTTGGTGTATGAGATGATGCTCCAGCCAACTGAGCCACCTGGCCAGGGCTGGGTCAGTCTTATTTTTTTTAAAGTTAATTTTTTATTGTTAACTTTATTACAGATGTTCCTTATAGCTAACCCTGGGAGGCTAACTCTCTCGGAAACACAGTACTTCACTCCCTTAGAACCCACGGGGGGGAGGGTGCAGGCAGGGCAGAAGATGGCAGGAGGGAGGTAATTGGTTGACTAGGGGGATTTCTCAGAATGGCTTTTTTATGTTGTTTGGTATAGGTCAGTAATTTTCCAGATGAGTCTGTCTGTGCTTTGTATATAAATGGGTCTTTTAAGAGGCTATAGACAGGAAGCAGCAGCTCACTCCTGGGTCAGGAACCAGAGGTGTGGTTGAAATTCACCAATAAAACCCCTTAACAACCAGGAAATTTCTAGTCATTTTTGTTTCCTAGGGACAATGATAATGGTATAGGCAAACTAAAGTAAAGTGTTGACCTTGAGCAGGGCAGGGGCAAGGGGAAGGTTGAGGGACAGGGAGCCACATTCCTGGGGCCCCTTCACCCAGTTTAAGAAACAAGAGTGCTCTGCAATTTTCCTTGGAGCCACACGGCGGCAGTGTGGAGCTGAAAGTGGGTCTGAAGCGGTAATAACCGTGGGCCAGGCTGCGAAAGTCACCAGCCTCCCAGCTCTAAGGCTGCACAAACTTTCTCTAAAGTTCTAGAATCTTGGTCTCTCATTTGATCCAGTTCTCCTGAGACACCTGGACACGTTTCTTTCTTACTAAGCTCTATGCATTTGGCAAAGAAAGGCAAAGAGCAAGAGGTTTCTACTGCAGGTGAAAGACTGTGTAGAAATTCCTGCCTGAAAGAGGGAGTGTTTGAAGGAGCCCAAACAAAATGAAACAACACAACACACAGATAAGATGGAGTTATGATAATGTGTTTGGTTTAGAGGCTGGGGGCTTAGTTTAGAAGGCCTCTTGAGAGCCGCTCTGGACCCAGAAATCTGTCCTGATCCCAGGAGCAAAAAACCCACTGATGTTGGGTATAAAATACCTGCTCATCCTAGTGGGTCTAGTTGGCCAATAGGACAGTGTCCCTCATGGAATTCTGCTGAAGTTCTATGGTGGGCATTCTTACTCCTTTAGAATAAGAATTTATTGAAGACAGGTAAAATTTATTCTGATCTACTGTATATTCCCAGTTTATTATTATTGTTATATAATCAACCATCAACTGGCTGCCAGTAGCAAATCAGTGTCTCTGTATCTTGTTCTAAGATAGTTTTGGAGAGGTTTTCATCCAGCTCTCACCCCCAGAGGCTCCCAGAGGGAGTGGGGCAGCATGACTGTTCGATGGAAGTTCCGATGACACACAACACGGGAGAAAGGGACTTCACTGTGCTAGAAACTATGCTTCTCGAAGGGTGATTACTCAGACGGGTGACCAGTCCCACAGATTTAGGCAGCTAACCTTCTAAGTTCACAGAAGTATCCCAAGCAAAAGGTCGATTTATTTCTGGCAACGTGGCTAGCAACGACTCTGGGTAACATTTCAAATTGTTAGCTGGCTCCAATCATCAGCTTATTGGCCCAGACTCCTTAGGACATGAAACCAGCCCTTCTCTGTACTTATCAGGGCATCTGAAGAGTCATCTGCACCATCAGCAGTCAACCAAACCTCTGTAGGTCACTTGGAGTCACACTCCCCAAGAATGCCTGCCCCTTATAAGCAGTCAGGGTGATTGCTAATGTTAACGTCCGTGATATATTTATTTGCTATAACAGGTCATACCTTTGAAGGCAATCATAGCAGACTTCATTAGAGACCTTAATCAGATGGTCGCTGACATTCAGGTCTCTGTTCTCTTTGACAACTCCCTGATTGAGTCTCTCCCCTGTCTCTGAGCCCAGGCACAGACATTTTCCATGCAGTTCAGAGAGCCTGCATCCAGTCAGGCCTGCTCACTTTTCTTCTGCCTTTTCTCCCATCCATAGATTTTCCACTCTCCTTTCTAAATTAAGGTCAGAAACCCCTCTCTCTGGGATGTTTTCTCTGATTAGATCCACCTAATCCTAACAGTCTCGTACCCAGTTTGCCCGTTGATAGGCTCTGGTTTCCCTGCTCTATGTTCACTCCACTCTGTCGCATGCTATTTTGCACACGTTCTTGCCCGTATCCGCAACTAGGTCGTGCGTGCTTTGACTCCACCCACCCAGCTCCTCAAGTCGTTTTTCATGCCTGCTCGGCTCCATTCCCAGGGCCTGTCGGGAACCCTGCAGCAGGCAGGCGCTCCGTCTGCGTGGCTGGGCTGCAGGGGCCCCCGCCTGGCGTGGGAACTGTCTGGGCAGTGCCCCCCGCGCGGTCTCTCTCGGGGGCACTGTAACGTGTCTGACCCTCTTCGGTTCTCTGTTTATTGTTTTTTCTTTTCAGAAGAGATCAGTAAGATCTCTGGATGCACAGACAGCGTGGTTGTCAGTGTTTGTTCCCCATTCTGCCTTCTAATCAATAAACTCTCTTTTTCCCCCAGTAAGGAAAGCTTCCTAAGGAGATATCTCAGTCCATTCTGGCTGCCATAACAGAGTACCTCAGTCTGGGTGGCTTAGAAACAACGGAAATTTGTTTCTCACAGTTTTGGAGGCTGGAAGTCCAAAATTGGGGTGTCGGTGTGGGGGGGAGGACCCTCCTCTAGGCTGTAGACCGCTCACGTTACCCCCGCAAGACAGAAGGGGCTTGGAAGCTCTGTGGGGTCCCTTATAAGGGACTAATCTCATTCACATGGGCGCCACCCTCATGACCTAATCACCTCCCAAAGGCCCCATCTCCTAATACCATTCACCTTGCAGGTTAGGATTTCAACATATGAATTGGGGGTGGGGGAGGCACAGACATTCAAATCTAGCTGGGGAGGAAAAACAATGGCAGGCTAGAGGGTAGAGGGACGTGTAGATCTGCAAAAATTTCCAGCCCCAGGAACCAAGCCTGAACCTTTTCTTTAGATCGCCTTGGGGAAGGGGAACCTGGGAATAGGAAAGTCGCCCCTTGCTCCCAGGACCAGGGTTAGAAAGTCATTCACAGCCAGCAGATGAGCAAGGTCTGCCTGCCACTCATCTGGGGCTTGAATTTGGCTAAGAGGATTCCTAGGGTTTCCACTTTGGGAGATGTTTAGCTATAGAGAACAATTTTATTTTTCGTTTTCTGCTTAATTAGCTGTTGGAGAAAGTATAGTGTATATTTCTCTAGCCACTGCTTACTGCATGTAATCAATTTTAAGACGTATTAAGTTAATTCTCTGAGGTTTTCTAGGATAGGATGTCTGCAAACAATGACAGATTTCTTCCCCCTTTCCAATAGTTCTAGCCTTTATTTTTGTTAAGTGTTTAACTGAACTGCTTAAACTTCTAGAACAATTTTTGATAATGAAGGAAAGAGCAGGTTTGTGGACATTCTTACTTTGTTCATGGTCTAATAGGACTATGTCTAGGACCTTACAGTTAAGTATCACATGACTGCTGATTTCAGATAAGATATTCTTAATCAGGTTAAGAAAGTGTCTTTTTATTTCTAATTGGTTAAAAAAGAAACAACAAACCAGGAGTGGATATTGGATTTTATTAGATTAAATTTGGAAAGATTTTTCTTATAATGGCAGATTGCGCTGTTGGTTGGTATTTCCTAGGCTCTATTTGTCATCTCTCGTTCATGAGAAACAGTGAATTCAAAGGTTGGATGACAGTAGGTTTCTACATGGACTATTTAAAGTTCTGAAGGCAAAGCAGGATTACTCAGCAGACACAAGTCTGAAAACGGAACACATACTGAGCTGGGCAAAGGGCAAAAAGGAACTGGTGATCACTATTTTATTTAAAACTTTTAAGGAAGTTGTTTATTGAAAATAATTAAATAGCTCAAAGGGTAATTTAATTGTGATATTGCCAAACAGGGCTCTACTATAGCTGATTAAAATCTTTTTTAAACATTTTCAATGGAGACTTCACCACTTTCTCTACTGATATGCTCCGATGTTTTCACGCATAACCTGGAAGTTCTCCTTAACTTCTCATCTGAACCTTTCTTGCTGAGATACAGCCTATTTTTTCCTCTTATGTCTTGTTAAAAAACAGAAAGTAATTTCCCTACAAAATAAGCACAAGAATTTGTAGAGAACTTTACCCCGTTTAAAAAAAAACACACACCCCCCTAAATTCACATGTGCACTTGAGAGCGTTCCACTGGCTCAGCGACAGCAGGGTTCACAAAAGTCTAGAAATTGTGCTTGTGGCTTCTTGGGTTGATATTGACATAATCTGTCCCTTCCTTCATGTTCTCATAGTCCGAGAAAGATTCACGCTTTAGATCTCCTGCAGCTGAAAAGACGACTTGTGTGTAATTCACATCCTTGTAGGCCTTGGGGGAAAAGAGCAGAGAAGTGGAGGTCAAGATCCCTGCCACGTCTGGAGGGGGTAGGACCCCAGGACTACACCCTCACCCAGAGAGGCTTGCCCTGGGCCAGATGAGAAGGGGCCTGGGTCCCAGGGAGCCACGTCTGAGAGCAGGGCCAGGGCTAGGAGGCAGATGCCCGATGACTCTGTTTCTCCCATCTGCAGGAGATGGATGAATGGGTTTAAGGAAGAAAGCTATAGAGAATCAACTCAAATGAGGTCAGGACTCAGAGCAGTGGCCCAGCGACTGGGGCATGGGGAGAAGGCGGCTTCCCGTTAGCACTTCCATTTTCACAGCCCACTCTGGGCGTTGAATCCGGCTGAGCATCCCACATCCTTCGCTTGGATGGGCCTTGCGGGTGGGGCTGTGGGTCACCGCCTAACCACCCTCACCTAAGGATGCTGCAGCGACTCAAGAAGCCTCTCCTTCCTTGCTCCCATCTCTGTAGCCGGGGCGGCCTGACCTCTCAGGCCCCAGGCTGTACACGGGGGTCTGGGGGCGCTAGGACTGTCCATTACCTGGCCAGGGGGAAGCGAGCTGCTGGCCCTGTTCGAGGCGTCGGAGCTCTCTGAGGAGGTGTCACTCTCACCTAGGAAGAAATAGAAACTGTCCTTCTTCTAAAAAAAGCTGGAGAGCCTTAGGAGAGGACAGAGCCCATGGAAGGGAGATGAGACAAAGACAGAGGCAGAGCAGCGATGCACAGAGGAGCGGAGAAAAGAGAGAAAGAGCTCCCAAAAGGGAAAGAAGGACTGGAATAGAGAGGGGGGAGAGAGAGCCTCCAAAAATAGGCAGGAACATGGCCAAGAGTCCAGGCACTGCTGCTTTGTCCAGCTCCAGCTGAAACGAACCAGGCTTGCTCGTGCCTGGGTGGAATAAACAGGGCCATGCTGAGACAACATGGCCCAAAGCAAACAGCTCTGGCCTCAGAAGCCAAGGGCACTGCTTCTCGTCTAACCTGTCACTAACTCTAGGCAGGTTACATCTTTTTTCATGCCCTGGTTTTGTCCCCTGTAAAACAAGAGGATTGAGCTCCCTGACAACTACAGAGCCTCTGACTCTGGCCAGGCTCTGGTGCAGCTTTGGGGTCATGATGAGGCCAGTGCCTCTCCCATTCCGTTGAAACACTGAGTTCATGTGAGTGTGTTTTCTGGTTCCTGAGAAACAACCAGATCTCTCCAGCCCAAAAGATCAAAGTAGAAGGATGGAGCAGACCCAAATCAATCGAGAGATAAACTAATGGAAAAAGTATGGTCTCTGGTGGGTGCACCTCCAGGGGTAATTGTCTTGCTGCAGAGGTAACAATTTCCTGTGTCAATAGTGAGCTGGCGGGCCTCCTAAGCTCTGAGATAGGAAACTAGAGGGTGGTGAGCCTGTCGGTCCACTTCCCAGAGGCAAACATACATTTGAACCATCACCAAGACTCATATTTATTAAAACACCCAGATACCCACAGGGATCTCAGACTGTAGAGAAGGAGCCTGTGGGAGTACGGCAGAGTCAACTTCTGGGACCAGCCAATGACACTGGCCAGATGGCATAATGCATAGTACCAGCCATGGCTGGCGGCAGGCAGTCAGTAAAAGTCTTGGCTCCACCACTAACTGGCCAGGTGAAAGAAAAGATGCCTTAGTAGTGCAAAGACACGAGCAGATATAGTCCCCAAGCCCCCTCTGCAATCGTTCACACGACAAAACCTAGAGGAGCTTAGACCCCTGAAACCCAACAAGTCTGAGCCATGTGACAGGGTGAACAACTCTCTGGAAAATGTGAGGTATTGAGGCCTTTCCTGGGGTGGGTGTGAGAGATCGAGGCTGGGTTTGGCAAGGGCGGGACAGACTTGGGCTGCTGCAGGGAGTCCCCTGGGTGTCCAGACAGAGCAGAATACATTTTATGAGCACCCCCGCCTCCCACCCCATTACTCACTCCTGTAACGGGGCTCAGACACAAGGGTGCTTCTCTCTGCCTGAGTCTCCTTCATCTCCTGGGCAGCAGGTGAGTGGCTGTGGGCATGGCTGGGCCTGGGGGCCTGGAGCCAGGCTCTTTTTAGTAACTGTTCGTTCTCTTTGGCTGGAGGGAACAGGCAGGCACATCCTATTTCTGAGCACAACTCTCATTAGGTAAAAATGATCTTTTCAAGCCTCAGCACTCCTCTACTGCAATGCCCCTCAACTCACTTTGAGAAAAAGCCGTAGTTCCAACCTTGAAGGCCCTCCATGGCCTCCCTCCTTCCTCTCTCGCCTTGCCTCCTCAGCTCCAGCCACCCCAGCCTCTTTGCTCCTGCTATAATGAGCCAAACCCTCTCCTGTCTCAGGGCCTTTGCAAGCGCAGCTCACTTCCTCACTTCCCTCAAGTTTATACTCAATTGTCAACATCTCAGGGATGCTGGACCATCCTCAATTTGTGTACCCTTGTCTTGCTTTTTTTCTCCCTAGCACTTATCATAATCTAACCCATGTTGGTTGTCTGTACCCCATGGAATATAAGCTACCTAAGGGCAGGGATTTTTGTTGTTGTATTGAATGAATGATTAATGAATGAACGAATGAATGACTAGAAAAGTCTCAACTTCCTTTACTAGAAAAACCTTCATAACATTATCTTGCCCAATCTCCTGTCTTAGCCAAAGAAATGTTTTTTTCCCCCTAATTGTAATGTCACTAGGACACAGCTTTTCTACTTTCCGTTGTAAAGCAGTTCAGGAACTGAAGGTGATCTCTTAGTCTAACCCAACCATACTCCCTTCTGCTGAGATTCAAACCATTTCTTCACGTCCAGTCCTTTGGTGGTGATGGAGAAAATTAATTAGGCCCAGGTTAAATGAGGCCACCCTCACAAGCATTACAGAAGCCTGTCCCTAGGCAGAAGGTCCAGGTGGTGGAAGGACTCTGGGCTGTCATTCCCAACCAGAAATAGGTTGGGTCAGAATGGGGGTTACCAGGTCAGGACGAGGGGCCGTCTGGCCAGTAGATCCTCAAGGTTTTCAAGTGATATTTGGGGGTTCCAAAGGGGCCTTGTTACAGACTTGGGAATGGTCCCTGAGAGTAACTGGGAGGGGAAAGGGCACTGAGCCAGTTACCCATGTATCTGCTGAGCAGGTAGTTGATGGCTGCGATGAGGCAGGCCTGTAGGACAAGGGACACGATTGCGATCACTAAGCCATGCCAGAGCTTCATGTCTCTGTTGGGAAAGGAGAGGGGTCAGAGTTAGAAGTTACAGAGTTGCTAATACAGCTGCAAACCCACCTCTGCCCCGAGCCAGAGGCAGCCATCTAGAGTCGCTGTGTCTCAGGGCAGCTCCCTTCGCTCTCTGGACAGTAAGGCACGGGAACCGGGGCAGGCAGGATGCACGCTTGGAAAGCAACTGTGACAGTTCCCCTGACTGGAACCTCACTCACTCTGTCATCATGGCCAGCTTCTTGCGGGGCAGCCAAGGGTTGTGAGTGGGGTTCAGGCGTTCCCCGTGCAGAGGGAAGAGACTTGAGAGGAGCCACCCTGGGCACCCGGTTTCTAAGTAGCGGTGCCAGCAGGACCGTCTAAGAGACCTGCAGGAGGCAAGGCAGCTGGTCAGGGGCGCTGGCCTCACGTAAACCAATTCTCCTCAGGCAAACTCAGCTGCTTGGAGGTCATGTGCTCTCCTCTCCCAGATGTCAGGCCTTCGAATCTACAAAACAGGCAATAGCATCCATCACTGAGCCCCCAGCACACCCGCCACCCTACCCAGTTCACACAACATGGGGCCTCGATGCCGTTCCCTCCTGTGTAATGAGCACCGTGAGGCTCGGCGAGCTGAGGGCCGTGTCTGAGGTTTCCCGCTGGCGGTGGCCAGGCCCGGGTTTGAGCCCTAAGTCCATCCTACATGCTCGGCCATTCCTCTCTGCTCCCGGAGAGTCTTAACCCGCTGCCTGAAGCACAAAGGGTCCAACTAGAGCAAATACATTGGGTGAGAGGCTTTGAAGAAGTTCAAACTTACACCACACACACACACACACACACACTCACACACACACACACATATGACTTCACTGGGATCTAGGAACAGGACTGTAGTTGCCGTTACACCTCTGTGAATATGTTCAGTTAAAAATTAGCTTGTGAATTCCATCAACATGTGCTGAATATGGATTCACTATAAGACAAAAAGGATAATTGAAAGCCTTTGAAATGATATTTACAGAGCCCTGAGCTGGGGCCCTATCACTGTCCACTGTCCTGATGCAGATGTGAACCTTAAAAAGCCTTTACTGCCATCAAGGTTCATTTTCCCAGCCAGGGTTTCCTAGTGCTCAGGGCAGTGGGGAAAGACCTGAAAATTTTGTTTTATTTGTAGTTCTCACACTGGGGATTTCTAGGATCAAAATTTGGATCAAGAGTCTGGAGGGAGGGTAGGCAGTGATGGGGAGAGAGGGCGTGGGGTTTGCCACCACGCCTCTCCAGGGCTGTGGGTGCAGGCCGGCTGGAAGTCTTCGACAGAAATGCCACCATCTCCCCCACACCCTTCACAGACCAACAAGCTGGTCCTTGGAAGGACTTCTCTGCGAGAGTTCAAAGGTTGGGAGCAACACTGGACCAATTTATTCATCTAAATGGCTGAAGCCCCCTCTTTCTGGCATAATATATTCTAGACACTTCTCCCAAGAAACCTAACTCTATCTATCTTTGCTTTTAAGTTAAATGAGCAAAGTACACCTACCATTGTCCCTCCCAAAGAGTTCTATTTAGTTTGATTTATAAGGATGGATTCGGGATCCAGACATGACTTGTGTATTTTGTATGGATGTAGCATGTGGGATGGGTGTGGAGTAGATGGAGTAGGGGGGAGAGTGGAAAGGTTCTAGATGAGAGAATTCCCCTTCCAGTCTGTATCAGAGCCNACTTGTGTATTTTGTATGGATGTAGCATGTGGGATGGGTGTGGAGTAGATAGAGTAGGGGGGAGAGTGGGAATGTTCTAGATGAGAGAATTCCCCTTCCTGTCTGTATCAGAGCCCTCCTGCTTTGTCCTAGCACCCACCACTGCATTGCCAAGAAGCACCAGGCGGTGAGCACAAGGGCTCCTGGGTTCCTTCTGTAGGAGGGTGGCCATCAGCTCACTGAGGTGCTGGTAGNTTAGCACCCACCACTGCATTGCCAAGAAGCACCAGGTGGTGAGCACAAGGGCTCCTGGGTTCCTTCTGTAGGAGGGCGGCCATCAGCTCACTGAGGTGCTGGTAGGAAGGGGCCGCAGGTGGCCAGAACACTGTCCCAGATGGCAGCTACGAAGGACTTCAGGAAATTACCAGTGTCCTACCTCCCCGAAGTCTATAGACAAATAGATAGAAAATCCAATATTTGCCAATGATCAGCCAACTCCAGAAAGAAAGCTCCAAGTGACTGTGCACAAAATAAAAACTGCAAAGCTAAGACGCTGGAAAGAAAACACACAGAAGTGATCGAGATAAAGCAAGAGGGATTTTTTAGGAAAAACAACGATCAGATTTGGTGACTTGATTGAAAAAAAGGGCATGAAGCTCAGTCAGTGTGGCTCAGAAGTTGAGAGTAGACCAAGGAACCAAATGGTCACCAGTTTAATTCCCAGTCAGGGCACCTGCCTGGGTTGTGGGTCCAATAATCCCCAGTAAGGGGTGTGCAGGAGGCAGCTGATTGATGATGTTTCTCTCTCATCAATGTTTCTCTCTATCCCTCTTCCTTCCTCTCTCCATAAAAATCAATAAAAACATATTTTTTAAAAGGGGGCATAGATATGCTTTAGTACAGATACTTCTCAGGTGAATTTCTGGGAAGACTGATTTCTCAGGCAACTGCAAAAGGAAGACCAGACTTTACCAGGAGAGCTTGATTGTGACACAAAAAGACATAAAAATCATGGAAAACAGACGGAGCTGGGCCAGTGTGGCTGCGAAATCAACAGTGTTCCTTTTTTTTTTTTTTTAATATATTTTATTGATTTCAGAGAAAGGAAGGGAGAGGGAGAGAGAGATAGAAACGTCAATGATGAGAGAGTCATTGGTCGGCTGCCTCTTGCACGCCTCCTGCTGGGGATCGAGCCCACAATCTGGGCATGTACCCTGACTGGGAATCGAACCGCAATCTCCTGGATCTTAGGTTGATGCTTAACCGTTGAGCCACTCTGGCCAGGCAACAGAGTTCCATTTTTAAGGCACTAGCTGCTTTACTGCATGTTTAATGTCTCATTCGTCCTTAATCACTAAAATCATTCTCCCTCCCCCAGCGAAGGGGGTGGCCAGAAGGCTACTAGGGCTGTGTTCTGATACCACACTCAAAGTTTTAATTTTTAAAGGCTCCTCTTACCCTTTATTTATTAAAGATTAAACAGTGAATAGATATTGGTGTAAAAGAATTAAAAATACAAATAAGCAAAGCATTTTATAAAGTCACCTTGAATTTTATTTCATGAAGTCGTCCATATTTTTTCATAAACATACTTTGTGAATGTGTATGTAAAAATATATATATATGTATACAATCTTTTTAAAACATGGGATCATACTAATTAGCAGCCTTGTCTCTTCACTTAATGTAGTGTAAATATACTTTGAGATCAGAAAAACCTCCATTAAAAAGCCCCATCTGGGGCCCACAGACCGAAGCTGGTGCCTGGTGGTTCTGTTTGATGATGCGCTTTAAAGTTTTAGGGGCATGTACTCTTCAGGGCGTTTGAGTTCGCCAGCCTTGACTTTTAGAGAATCGCTTTAAATTCCTGCTACCACTCTGTCAGTGTTTCTTAGTGGTCTCTGGCGTTCAGAGCCAGGCAGGTCCTTGTTGTCTAGAACAGTTTTGCACACTGCGGGACATTTAGCATCCTGAGAGATCACCAATGTAACAGGCCAATGCAGCAACCACAATGACCAAATGTGACCCCACATGTGTATTTCCAAGGGCCCCCCTGAGGCAGGTGCCGTTGCCCCCAATTGAGAGTCATTGCATTACACCAATGTTACATTCTTTTAGATCCAATACTTATTTGGCTCCTTATACAAAACTAGATTGCCTAGGCTTCATTGCATCATTTTAATATATATGAGCAGCTTGCTAGCCAAATGACACACAGACCCTGTGCCAGGATATAGCAGAGCAGTCAGACAGGGTGAAATATGGATCCAAATTCTGTTCCCTCCTAGATGTGAATTATTAAACTTCTCAGTGCCTCAGTTTCTGTACCTGTGCTATGGGGAGAAGCATAATATCTGCCTCCCAGAGTTCTTGCGTGGGCTTGGCGAGGGAGGCCACCAAGCGGCCTTTCTACAACACCAGGCATGAGGAAAACACTCAATAATTATTAGGTGTCATTCAACCTAAAACATCAAAATGGCGACTCGAGTAGAGCTATTAAAATTGGGTTGGTCTATTTTAGGAAACTTGAGTGTTCGTTTCGAGTAGTTTGGAGATAAGATCCAGGACAGGATGAGGTATGGAAATTATGACAGATGTCATTATTTCAGCGGCTAATGGCCCCTAACCACAACGAGCAGGTTGTTTCTTGGGGTCTAATTGCAGATTGCTGATCAGACGGTTTCCAGAAACATCTGCTCATTTGCACGAAAACATACCCAACACCTGGGAAACAAGCAAGTGAAGGTGATTCTGCTGTGAAAACTCTGCTGGACTCCTCAGCCCATCATCAGTATGGGGACCGTCCTGCCCCCTTGCACACGCTGGGTTCTGGTGCCCAGGCCCAGGCTAATGTAATAACCCACCAGGCGCCTCAAACCCGCCCTTCAGCAGGGCGCCAAGAGCATTTCTTCTGTTCTCTCTAGACCTGGGTGGAAGTCCTGAGACCCCAGTCAGGGCTGGATCCCACGTTATTGTCCCCCCCACTGATACAGGAGCTCTCGCGGCCTTCCTAGTGATGCAGCGAACCGCCCGACGTGAAGCAGCGAGGACGCGCCGGGCCCTTTCCTGCCTGGCGCCGGCTTTCTTTGGATAGAGTCGTTCTAGAAAGGGTGGTTTAAAACAGGAGCACAACAGGAGATGAATTATATGAAAATCACGTAGACCAAGTAATCGCAATCAATATTGTGAAGCTGACTTTACCAATCTTTTAATATTAAGTAGCTTTAACATTTTTAAAGCTTTTATAACGATTACGTGGCAATCTTCATTAATTACTTGTTTTAAAAATTAATAATTTGCCCTGGCTGGGTGGCTCAGTTGGTTGGAGTGTTGTCTGGTACACCAAAAGGTGGCGGGTTCGATTCCCGGTCAGGGCACATATCTAGGTTGCAGGTTTGATCCCTGGTCGGGGTTCCTAGGGGAGGCAGCTGATCAATGTTTCTCTTTCGCATCGATGTTTCTCTCTCTCTCTCCCCCCCTTGCTCTCTCTCTAGACAAAGCCAATGAACATACCCTCGGGTGAAGATAAAAATAAATTAATAATTTGATCTGGAAC